GGGGGGGGGACACACTGTTCAATGATTTGTAGACATACATGAGTATTTTGAACTGAATTCGAAAGTGAACCGGTAACCAGTGCAGTGAGGCCAAAACTGGTGTAATGTGCTCTCTTTTGCCTGTACTGGTTAAAAATGGGGCTGCTGCATTCTGGACCAGTTGTAGTCGTGCAATGGAGGTCTGACTGATACCAAACAGGAGTGAATTGCAGTAATCAAGCCTAGATGTAATGAATGCATGTATTACTGTCTCCAGGTTCTTTTTGGACAATATGGGCTTCAGTTTAGACAGCCGCCTCAGTTGGAAGAAGCATGATTTAATCATGTTTACAGGATTGTTAAGTTTCATGGAAGGGTCCATTATCACACCCAGATTAGTGACTCTTTGTTTTTCTGACAGGGTTAGAGTGGAGAGGTCGATGCAGTGGTTTGTGATCGTGTCGTTGGGAGGGAACAACTTGACTTCAGACTTCTTTTCATTGAAACTTAAGAAGTTTAAAGCCATCCAGTCCCTGATGTCAGCCAGGCAGTTGAGTAGCGGCTGAATAGAGCATGTACCATTGTGTCTTAGGGGGAAGTAAATTTGACAGTCATCGGCATAGAAGTGGAAGGGCATGTTGTGTTTCCGGAAAATAGCACCAAGCGGCAGCAGGTATAAAGAGAATAGGAGGGGACCCAGGATGGACCCCTGCAGAACCCCCCATTTAAGCTCTGCCTCTGCAGAACTAAAATCTTTGATGGAGACACAAAAGGATCTGTCAGTGAGGTAAGATCTGAACCAATTGAGGGCTGATCCTGTGATTGGACTTCACTGTTATGCTGATGATATTCAAATTATATTCAGAGGTGGAAATTGACAAGCTGTATTTACAATCAACAGCTGTAGATTTGACACAATCTGCTAGCTTTCTTGGATGGATATATTTTACTTATTGGTATATTTTAATGGGTGTGAAAGTTTTTGTACAGAACCATGAGATGACTTTTGTTGTGAATTGTTGCTAGATAAAAAACCTGGACTGAATTAATCATGACATGTCAGTTTTTTGTCAGGTGTGACAACTGTCTACCATGAACTTTAACAGCCATTTTGAGTTTTTTCCTTTGCCCTAATAAAATGTTACTTTTAGCTGACTATTGTTTAAATTTGTTCTGTTCACAGGGATCTGTAGTGGTGAAAACAATAGTACAAACAACTGCAGTCTTCCAGCCTTTTAAAAAACATTTTTAAAGTAAAAGTAAAGTGCTGTCATCATTCTATGTTCCCATACAATGGCGAAGTTGGTTCTCTGCATTTTGCCCATCGCGCCTGGCGTGCACCCAGATGGGGTGGTGGGCGGCTGTGTGGGGCACCTGGGGAGCAATTGGGAATTTGGTGTCTTGCTCAGAGGCACCACGACATGTGGGAATGAAATATGTTACTTATCTGCTACAGAGAGACCTGCCCCTCGTCTGGTTTCACTTCCTGTCATTTCTAACCTAAACATCAGACCTGTCTTCTGTCTCTGGGGACAGTCTGTTTCTGTTAATGGTTCACCTAAAGGAAGCTGGGGGCCAACAGGAGCTCTTAAAGGGGCCTCTGAGGGCCCCACGCTCAAATAAACAACAGCTCTGTTCTGCTACTAGACTAAAAGGCTAGGCTTTGGCTGCTTGTTATGACTTTAAGTGTGTCAAGTATTTTTTTTAAGAACTGAAACAGAGGACCTGAAACTTTCACTGTGGGAGGCGAAGGACACCCTGGACAGGTCTCGCGTCCATCTTAGGGACACAAACAACCATTCACCATCTCACTCACACCTGGGTTGGAGTTACCAATCAGCCTAACATGAAGGTTTTTGGTCTGTGCGAGGAAATTGGAGTACCTGGAGAACAAAAACCAGAGAAGTGCAAATCTAAAGACAAATGAGAAAACTTTCAATTGTCTGAAAACACAAAACTAAAAACAGCTAAATGATCAATCAAAGCTAAAATTGCAAATCGGAGTCTAAAAGCTAATGAAACACAGCTTTAGCTAAATGCTAAAATAGCTGAGATGGAGTAGAGGCAGGGCAGCCGCCCCAGGACCCCAAAGTCCCAGTTCAATCCCCAGCCATGCCCACATGTTGTGGTGTCTCTGAGCAAGACACCCAATCCCTAACTGTTCCGTAGGTGCCTACATAACTGCCCACTGCTCTACCTGTGCTGGGTCAAATGGAGGGAACTCAATTCATCAATGTATGGAAACACAAAGAAGACAACACACAGCACTTTTTATTATTTAGTATTAAATGAGCAAGACCGTAGCCTTAAGCTAAAAGGACTAAAAGAAGCCGAAACTACAACTAAAAATAGACAATAAATAAATAAATAAAACTGCTGAAGCAAATTTGAAAGAACCAGGTCTGCTATGACCAAATGACTCATCGGTGTGAAGGCTGACTCAACAAAATGTATGATCACTCAGCTGTGTAAATGCTGACTCAGCTGTATGAATGCTGACTCAGCTGTATGAATGCTGACTCAGCTGTATGAATGCTGACTCAGCTTTGTAAATGCTAACTCAGCGGTTTAAA